CCCCCGTATAAGATCAAAGGCAGTTTCACCGGTCCACGTGGAGTAAAGCACGCCTATGCGTGGACATAGCCAATGAGAAAGCGTGTATTTCAGAGCTCCGAACAAGTGCAGGTGGCTACTGAAAATTGAAACAGTTTAGCCAGTGCCGTGTAGCGGTGAATAAACGTGTTTTCTTTAGTCTGTCCGTGTTTTTTCATAGATTTTATTAGTTTGTGTGTTTTTGACTTTTGAATACTCAGTTTACTTGTTGATTTAATTGTTGTGTTGATTGTTCTTGTGTGTCCTAAATATGGCTCTTTGGAGACCTTGGGAAAATGCTCCAAGCCAAGAGGAGATAGTTGATGAACCTGTGCAGGCAGAATTCTTTCATAAAGATTTAGAGGAACAGACCCAAAGAGTAATCCTAAATATGTATGATTGTCTGAAAAACGAAAATCCAGATTCCTCGCAAAATCAAATTTTAAACAGAATTTGTATCCTGACAAAAATCAGTCGGTCTACCATTTATCGGGTTATAAAAAGGTGAGATGTAGTCAACCATTCCTTCCACAGAAAGCGCATAGGGCAAAAATTAAAAAGAATAGACGTGGGTTTTCAGGAAGATATTCGTCGTATAATATACGGATTTTATAAAGAAAATTTGGTGCCCACGTTGGAAATGATACGGGATAAATTGAAAGATTATCCTGAAGATTTTTATAATTACAAATGCTTAGACTCACTGCACTGTATTGTAAAACTGTGTGGTTTTCAATACAAAAAATTAGATAAAAGAATGGTGATTATGGAGTCGTCTCGAATCGTTGAATTGCGCCAAGAATGTTTGCACAAAGTTAAAATCTATAGAGAGCAGAAAAGAAATCTGATTTACCTGGATGAAACGTGGTATGATACCCATGATGTTGTGCAGTACGGCTGGGTTGACGACAGCAACAAGTGCATTTTAAATGCACCATGCAGTGAAAATGGATTTATACCTAATGCCTTGCTGTTATCTGCCAAAAATATCAAAGAATCATGTGCCGACTATCATGAGGACATGACCTCCGACTTATTTGAAAAGTGGATAGAGCAGCAGTTAATACCAAACATTTCCCCAAATTCAGTGATTATTATGGACAATGCGCCATACCATTCCCGACAGAAAAACAAAATTCCGAATACAGGCACGAAAAAACAAGACATTATTGATTTTATGAAGGATAAGGGAATGGAAATACCACAAAAATCAACAAAGCCATATTATTGGATCTTATTAAAAGACAAAAATTTGAAAAAGAGTATGTTGTTGACAATCTGCTTCAGCAAAATGGCCGTCTACCTCCCTATTACTGCATTTTTAACCCGATTGAGTTGGTCTGGGCTGCTTTAAAAAAAAGTAAGAAAACATAATCAGACCCCTCAATTAAGTGAATCGCTATTGGCCACAATAAGAGATGCAGTATCTCATATTGCTGCCACAGACCTATGGAAGCAGTGTTCTAGGCATATTATTGAAAAAGAAAATGAATATTGTGTTTTGCCTCCTGTAAATCCCGTTGTAATTCCTCTACAAGATGACTCTAGCGACAGCTCCGAAGGCGAGGATGATATATAAATACCTATAATGTAAGTCTTTATATACCTTTTTATATACCTACCTGCTATGTAAATATTTGCCTATGTCAAACGGTGGAATTCTGTAATTTTCCCATTTCTTAACTTTCAGTCAACATAAATTAAACTCCCAATATAAGTATTTTTTATCCCAAATCAAAAAAATAAGAAGATAGTAAAATCCATTTATTGTGCTCGTAAAAACATTATTATTATCATCGTTCTAAATAAATGACCGCACGCCTATGATACGTCATGAAATTACAAAGGACGCGCCGACCAAAGGTTTTTATGCTATTTCAAGTAACTTCAGATCAAGTATACATGCCTCTCAACAGCAAATCCAATATCAGGCCGTTCTCCACGGCGGCGTCTTACCCTTCTACGATCATAGTGCGTACCTAGAGAGAATCGCGATTCTTCGCTGAAGTTGACATTATGCCATTCTGCCTCCCAATGTTGCCGTTCTCTGCTCCAGTTCAAAAGTTGCCGACAGTAGTCCGCAGTCACGGGAAGCACTAACCGTGGATGGTATGAAAAAAGTCTAAAGGCTCGAATGCAGCGATAGGGTGTTCGCATAGTAACAGGTCTAGCTTCTCTTCCAAACAGTGATCTGACGCATAGTAGCAAAACGGTTACTTGTCTGACGAGCGTATCTTGACGCACTGTGGAACGCCTTGGTGGCACAGTTGGCCTTCTTCGTGTTCCTCTACCTTCTTCTATCCACACACGACACACACGCATTACCGTCATTGCAGCACAATTAACACGGCGGCCAATTTCACGATAGGACAAACCAACATGTCGATAGGCTATAATTCTACCCCTGTCTAAGTTGCGAACATGGTGATAATTTGGACGTCTTCTAGGCCGAGGAATTTTATTATACTTAACACTAGTAAATGAAAAGACAATGAGTAAAAATATCTGTACTAATCAGCTCTCAGGAACAGCATGCTTTAAATATAGTCATTATGTTGCCAAAAAACAACAAATTTTTTTGTCTGTGTGTAACACTACCTATGTCACTGAGTATACAGGGTGTTTCAGTTTATTGTTGCATAACTTTAAGATTCGATAAAACCTTTAAAATTAATGCATAAAGTCTATATAAACATGGGTCGAAAAATGCGTGTCTTTCGAAATACAGGGTGTTTAAATTTACTTTCTAAAATAGTTTTTTTTAAATATTTCGAACAATATTTGATGTATAACAGTGAAAATTGATATACAAGGGTTTTTTGGTACGACAAAACGAACCATGGGCATAGTTTTACTATAGGCGCTAGAGGGCGCTCTCTACTGTACCTGTAGTGTATTAAAATGACCGAAAAAATTTTCTTAGTGCAATTTTTTGCTTTTTGAATAAAAAACTGATTCTTCGCACTTTTCAACATAAAAAAGCTCTCTTGTGAATGTTCGTTATAGTTAGCCGTTTTTTAGATATTTCGATTTTTAAGGTTCGATGCATTTTTAATTATTTATGATAAAATAACGTTAAAAAGTCAGTGTCTCGATGATTTTTAGAAGTAGGCTGTGCCTGCAAATATTTTTGAAATTGAAAGCAGAATAAGGTTAAACGTCAATTAGTTGACAGTTAGTTTTGTTGTTTGAAAATGCCATTTTTATTGTCCAATCAAGAGTTAGTGCATAATCATTTTGTGTATGGCTTTGTAAATGGAAACGCAGCAGAAGCAGCCAGAGAATACGCACGAAGATTTCCAAACAGACGACATCCAACTCGCTCAGTATTTGTAAGAGTGCATCGCCAAATAATTGAAAATGGTTTTGGAAATCTCCAAAGGGATCAAAACATAAATGTTCGTTAGCGCAGATTTACCCGTATGATTCTGCGTGAGTTTGATAGAGATCCGACCACAAGTGCTAGGAGAGTTTTTGATGCCTTGGGAATTTCAGCAAGCCATGTTCACCGTGTTCTTAGAAATGACCATAGACGTCCTTACCATTTGCAACCTGTGCAAGGACTACAGCCAGGGGACGGAGAACGAATAATCACATTTTGTCAGTGGATTCTTGATAGAACTGATAATAATAGGGAGTTTTTAAGTAACGTTTTATGGACCGATGAGTCATGCTTCACTAGACGTGGAGTGGTAAATTTTCATAATCAACATATTTGGTCGCATAAAAATCCGCATGCAGTTCGGGAAAGAAATTTTCAGCATGAATTTAGTGTGAACGTGTGGATTGGTATCTACCGTAATCGACTATTTGGACCCTACCTTTTGCCTGCAAGGTTAAATGCTGCGACCTTCTTGGAATTTTTAAAAGCTGAACATGCAAATATGTGGGATGATGTTATGTTAGATTTAAGAAGATTGGCCTGGTTCAGGCTTGATGGTTGTCCAGCTCATTATTCGAGAATAGTTAGAAACTGGCTGGACGAAAATTATCCAGAAAGATGGATCGGCCGGATCCCCTGACCTAAATCCATTAGATTTCTTTGTGTGGGGATTTCTAAAAGACAAAGTGTACCAGACTCCCGTAACCACAAGAGATATGCTAATAGACAGAATCAGGAATGCATGTGATGAAATAAGGCCTTATTTGAATAATGCTATACCACGTTCGATCATTCGTAGATGTGAATTGTGTATTGAACAATTGGGTTTACATTTCGAGCAACTACTTTAGATTTTGTATGTTTGTCCTAACTATCCAATAGCATTTTAGTTGTAAGTAATTAATTTAATTTGTTAAAAATAATATTGGAAAATTAAGCAAATTAATATTCTTTTTTTTTTTGGAGTTAGGAATTATTGCTGTGTTTAAAAACACAATCTAAACGATCATCTTAATTGCGTGTAATGCCCAAATAGAAAATGTAAAAAAAAATATTATTTTCCCATAAGTAATTAAAAATGCATCGAACCTTAAAAATCGAAATATCTCAAAAACGGCTAACTATAACGAAAACTCACAGGAGAGCTTTTTTATGTTGAAAAGTCGAAGAATCAGTTTTTTATTCCAAAAGCAAAAAATTGCACTAAGAAATTTTTTTCGGTCATTTTAATACACTACAGGTACAGTAGAGAGCGCCCTCGTGGTTCGTTTTGTCGTACCAAGAAACCCTTGTATACCAATTTTCACTGTTATACATCAAATATTGTTCGAAATATTTTAAAAAAACTATTTTAGAAAGTAAATTTAAGCACCCTGTATTTCGGAAGCCACGCATTTTTCGACCCATGTTTATATAGACTTCATGCATTAATATTAAAAGTTCTATCGAATCTTAAAGTTATGCAACAATAAACTGAAACACCCTGTATATTTTCTATAAATATTATTTGGAGGCATTTGTCATCGCTGTATTTGTGCTCTAGTTATCACCAAAAGACTAATGTCCCTTTTGGAAAAAATATTTTACATGAAAAACTTACGTGAGTAAGAAGCGTTCTGCTGTTGGATACCTCTACCGTTGTGCCAACCCCTCCGACATATACAAATTGACACAGCCACTATCATTACTAAGAGTACTAATAAGGTACTGATTAACAAAACGACAAACCACGTCACTTCCATACCCATGATGGTCCCGGTGTCGTTGTCTGCAACAAAAAAAATAAAAAATATTAGGAAAATGTTGACGTAAATTTAACTGTATGTATTGATATATATATTTCTGACTAATAGAAGTCGGTATGTATGTATGTATCATAATTAGCATATCTATCGTAATTAAACAGATTAAGTCAAATACAACGACTGTTACTGTTCGTGTGCCACAGGGGCCAATTTTAGGACCGATTTTATTCAGTCCATACATTAACGAGTAGGTAGTTGCTTTGATGGTGCCAAATTAAAATTATACAGGTTGAACTTGAGTCATTAATTTTCAGATAATGATTGTAGAAGGAAGATAAACCAAAACCAAAATATGTGTGTAAAAATAAAAAAAAATAAAAAAAAATTTTTACCTTGTTTTATAAAGTATCCTCCCGACAAGTATTTCAGTGCGGACCTGTATTTGATCGTGAGGTCTTAGAGCACCGGCATGCCCTTCCCTGTGAGGTCTTAAGTCACCTGATTCACGAGCCCGTTGTACTACATTAACAAAGGCACGAGGGGTTGGTTGCACTCGATTGGGAAACCGATCCGCATAAACATGTGCCATTTTTTATTTCGTTTGAGCCACGCAGCAAACACCACTATTCACTCACGCGTTACCGACTGACACATTGACTGAATAAAAACATCGTGATCAGCGTTTCAAATTCTTTCGCTTTTTTGTTTCCGATGCGATGAACCGATAAGGCGGATTATATCCGTTGTTGCCAAACACGAGCACATAATATTATTATTGAGACAGGGCGGTACTCAAACTTCTAAAGGGCTATAACTTTGTTACTTTAATTTTACCAGAAAAATGTTAAAGGAAAAAAACATTTCTTTTGATCAGATCTACTCACTGTTAAAATAAATGACTCAACTTCGAAGTTACCCTGTATACTGACGTCACATCCGCGTTGCTATTATATGATGAGCTTCTAACCAGTAGATGTAACACCCTGTTAGACGTTTTAGACAATTGATTTGCTGAACATCAACTGTTTCTAAATTAAAATGAAACAAAAATATTACGGTTCCACAATCCGCAAAAGAAACTAATACCATTAAATTTCAAAGTCAAGGATGCACCAGTGCCAATATAGGATGATGTGAAGTTTTTGGGGATTTATCTAGTTGTAGCTTGCAATTCTAAAGCAGACTGTGATATGTTGCTTCGAAGCTAAATTCTGCATTTGCAATAATAGATTTAGAGGCTGTACTAACACAATGTCAACTGGTAGTGATATATCACGCTCAAGTAAAATCCAGGCTTCCAAAACAAGTATTGCATTGTTTGGCAGGAGTTAAAAGTATGAACCACTAACTTTGCCTCCATTATCACACCACAATCAGCACAAATTCATTGTGAATAATGAGTTGCATAATTTTGCTACAAGGCAAAGAGGACAGTTGCATGTTTCTTATGCTGAATATAGAATAGCAGTATGTCTACAAACATATTGGATCCCAAGATTTTTAATAGGCTCCCAACCTAAATTAAAAATATCCAAACGGTAAACTATCTTAAAAAAGATTTAAAGATGCATCTTCAAGAAAATTGCTACTACTCTGTCTCCGACTTTGTTACTACGAATGTTGATTTATTCTGTGATACGAAATCCTATTGTTGTATTTTCATGTCTTTCTGATAATAAATGTTGTTATTATTATTATTATAATTATTATTACAAATTAGCAATTATTTTGCTAAGCAACCATATTTTCGTGTTAAACATTTTTTGCCTCTAAAGCTTTTGGATATACTCTAATTTATACTAAGTGACATATAAATCCGAACACCCAGTTTAAATGGTTTTATTTTAATAAAATTTTGTATAAGTACTTAGTGAAGCATAATAAGTAAATGATAAAAATTTCAAAATGATTGCACTGCTTTAAAGCCCTTTGACCTTTAATAATGTGTGGATGCACCCTGCTGTGCTACGCATTCTCCAACGCGCCTAGGCATGCTTCTGATCAGGTGGTCAATGTCCTCCTGTGGTATCTCATTCCAGCCAACCACCAACTCCTCTCGAAGTGCTTCTAGAGTCTGAGGAGGACGTTGCAAATTGAGGAATCTCCTACCCATCATATCCCACACGTGCTCAATTGGGGATAAGTCGGGAGGTCTTGGTGGCCATGGTTTCAATGTGACATCATTATGTTGAAAAAAGTCTATTGTGAATCTTGCAACATGTGGTCGGGCATTATCTTGTTGGAAAGTTGGATCTGCCAGGGTGTCAAGATATTGTAAAAGATGAGGTTCTAGAACTTCGTGGATATAACGCTGCGCGTTCATGTTACCTCTGATGAAGATTAAAGGTGACCTGGAACCATAAGCTATAGCACCCCAAACCATAACTCCAACAGTATGATGAACATGTCTTTCAACAAAAAACTGTGGATTCCTCCTTTCACCACGTCGCCTTCTAACCCTGGCACGACCATCGTGCATGCCTAAACAAAATCGAGACTCGTCACTAAAGACAATACTGTTGCATTCCTGATCCCAGAGTGACCGTCGGTGTTCTCGAGTTAAAGGGAGGACCCAGTGTGGCCGGTATGAAAACAAGCCAAAACTTCTCATTCGTCGGTAAACACTTCGCATGCCAATAGGTCTTCCGTGTTCTGCAAACCATTCATTTGCAGTGGACCTGGTAGTGGAGAAACGGTCCCTTAAGGCCAATAATCTTAGACGGCGATCTTCACGGTCTGTTGTTCTACAGCGGCGTCCAGTGCCCCTTGCTCTTTGCGTATGGCCTTCTCGAAGCCATGCCTGACAACACCTAACCACAGTGTCTACACTTCTTTGCACTCTAACTGCAATTGCCCGAAAAGAAAGTCCAGCTTCCCGAAGTCCCACTATACGGCCCCTAAGAAACTCACTAAGTTGACGAAATCGTACAGGTCTCCGTACACTATGCATCGTAACCGATCGTAAAGGATGTCAAGAAACAAAATCCGCCAATGTTGATTCTTTACTGCGGCTGAAATATTCTTTTTTAGAGCGTTAGTGTATTAAAAAAAGCAGTATAAAAACCGGAATGTCCAACTGATAAGGCTGACAATTTTTTCACTTGTTATTTACAGTGAGATAAAGACATTCACCAACTTTTATTAAAATAAAACCATTTAAACTGGGTGTTCGGATTTATATGTCACTTAGTACACATCCTACACTAAAACATTAAAAACCTAATTTTGCTTTGGTACTTACTTTGGCATAGGGTTGTAGAAGATTCGTCCGATCCATCAGCGCAGTGGTTGATGCCATCACAGACTAATTCTGTCGCTATGCAGAATTCTCTAAGAGTACATCTAAATTCTGTACATGCGTGTTCTGAAAATAAACCAAAAGACTGTATTTAGAGATATAGTGTATGATGGCCTCTTACTACTATATTTTTGGCACGGCGCGATGCTGCATCATCGTGGAGGCCACTGCCGTCTGTGCAATGGGTAACACACTCCAACTGGTCTGCGGTGGTGTTGTCACTGACACACCGCTGCAGGAGAAATATTTATATATTCTGGCAATGTTTGGATATTAGGAGTACGTAACCACTTTAGCGTTCTGCTATGCTTTTGTAAATGATGATTTTCTTATATCTTCACATACATTTTTCTGAATTTTATGATCCTTAAATGTACCACCCATCTCGCCTAACCTTTAATTTATGTTACTGCGTTTATGACGGTTTTCTGAATATTTCTTCAAGTATAATCACCCACTTGTGACGCATTGATATACAACAGACACGAACTGACAAACCGACATAAATGAGAATCACGGGCTAGCGTGATGCAGATATATTTAAGCAACAGAAAACATGTGAACCAAAGTTCGAATATTATCGCGAGATGAGTACTTCTATCGTTTAGATTTATTATATTTCAAAAAATAATTTATAGGCGGTGGAAATAAAATCGCTGAAATTCCTGCTTATTTTCATTGGTTGCAGGGGATGAAAAGTGTAGGTCGGAAGCTGTATGTGGTTAATGGTTGTAAATTTTACATATTTGGAATCAGTGAAAGACCTGATATGACTGAGAACCTGCTGGTCTCAGTAATACTATGTACCTGTTAGTCATAATGAGTCACACATATGTTCCCTACATCTGTCATGGAAACAGAAATATGATAATTTGCTTTATATAGTTTGACATGTAGAGGCCGACGATTCATCGTACCCCAGTGAACCTACCAAAACCGTTCATTACCGAAACTGTTGACAGCAAAGTTTTGTTGTCATGTGCTCATCTGGAAATTCATTAAATTCATCTAAAGGAGTCATTTTCATAATGACCGTTTGAGTAATATTTTATTACATTTATGAAAATGTATATTATGCATTTTCAAACCTGCATTCAACGTTGAGAACACCAATTAAATCTTTAAGTGAAATTTGTCTATATGCCTATTGAATAAAACACACAAATCCAGTATCCCGTACACAACCCGACAGCACCTACTGCTTCAAAGCACAAGTATCGCGCTTATCAATACAACGTTGCAACCGACTACAAGTTTCAAAATTAAATGACACATTTTGAGTATTCCGCAAATATTTCAGACTTCCGAAAAGATAATTTTGATTTGTGCGTGTAATTCCGAATAAGTCTGTTACCAGATACCAGTTTGAGTCTTGTTAATGAAATAAAAGTAATGTATGCGTCTAAATACAGTACAGCGTTAAAGCTGCTTTATGACTTTTAACATATGTATTTTTCAATCGATATCCATCAAAAGTTACTCTTTAGCGCTGTACTGTCGCTAGACGCGCTCAATAATAGCAACAGTGTGATTTAAAAAAAATCACTGATATTATCGTTTTATGCAACAGTGTGATCTAGAAATGATCACTGATATTACCGTTCTATGGTTTGCTATCGCTGGATGCGAGGGGCAAACAATAATACAAATCTTAAAATATAAGTCAAACCTCAAGACGCGGCAACATCGTCACACATTTTGCCGATGTACAAAGAAAGCACACATGCACAGGTTTTCTACCCGCTTTCTTCTGCGGCGCGGATAACGGAAAGGAGGTGAGTTGGAAACTGTTCAAAAATCTACCCCATAAACGGCACACTGTATGTTCTAGACGAAGAAATATAGTGAAAAGTGTTTATGACGCACTCCGAACACGAGTTTCAGAGCAACAAGTAAGAGATATCGTTCAATTTTGTAGCGATATGACAAAGATATCACTATCTACCATTTTAAGAATTATAATTAAAAAACGTAATGTATGTTCGGTGGTAGCAAAAACAGGGATGTAAACGAGTGGTTTTAAATGATGATGTTAAATACACAATCTGTCGGAAGGTGCAAGCGTTTTATTTGAGAAGAGAAATATCGACAATAAAAAAATACGGCACGCTTTGAATACTAACGATAGTCTGCCAAAAATATTCCAGCGTGTTTTGCTAAGAACTTGATATCAGATATTTGACCGAGGAGAGGAATAGCGCATTGATCGAAAGTGATTATTTAATAACCTGGTGCAGGGAATATCTAAAAACCATACGTAGTAGAGTTCTAAACATCACATCTCGTAGACAAACGTATCGTGACGGATTAAGTACATGCTTCCAACACCCTACAGGTAAGGGTCGTCGTTCAATTATTACTCATATTGGTAGCGATTCTGGCTTTGTCGATGGAGGATTGAGGGTCTTCGAATCACGAAGAACGCACAAGTTTTTGAAGATTGGCCCAAAGCAGTGTTAACAAAATTAGAACCCCATTCTGTGACTGTCCTAGATAATGCTTCATATCACAGTCGACGTACAGAAAATCTTTCCACTTCAAAATGGAGAAATTTATAATTAAACTAGTGTCAAAAAGTATACCATGCGACCTATCGATGCTCAAAGCAGAGTTGATGCAAATCGCTTGTCAGCACAAGGGTAGGTACACGAAATTAATATAGCTTTCAGATTACTTCGGTACAAGTGCGAACCCAATCGGGTTGATATGGGCTCAAATAAAAAACGAGTAGCACATAAGAATACTACCCTTCTAAGATGGCGCATGTTGGTATCATTTTGGAAGAGACCATTAAGGATGAAACTGGTGATACGTGGCAGAATTGCATAAGGCACGTAGTCTATTAAGAGGGAAAGTTCTGGCAATCGGACCATTCCTCAAGGCGGATAATCGAACCAGTCATAATTAACTTAAATGACGACAATGATAGCGACATCACCGACAGTGGCAGTTCCTGCTCGAATAATGGCCATAAAAGCGCAGCGCCGCTGACTAATTTGTTCAATGGATTATTTATTTATTAATTTGTTTATTTATATTTGCGTTATTTATTATTCATAGTCCTTTTATATTTGCTTTAATTTTTAAATAATGAGAATTTATCTTTATTACGTCTTCCAGTTTCAGAACTTTTTATTTTTGTGATTTGAATTTTTCAGTTTTAGAGATTAATCATATTTATTTTCCATTTTGTTGAAACTGAAAGACGGGTGGAGGGAGGGACGGTCTCGATATGCATTCACCTCCCCGTGGTGGGTCCTGGATAGACCGAACATGGGCTAGGTGAGAGCTGCATTAATGTTGTGACAAATCAATCCGTTTTTTCTTATATTAATCAGTTACAGGTCGCTGCTCTAACTATTTCTGTTTAATGATGACAAGTGTTACAAAATGTTGAGGAAAACTCTACTTTTTAACCCCTTCCGAATTGGAAATCGTCTCGCCACTATGGCGGTCTCTCTTCAAAAAAGTCGGCAATATTCCTCGCATTCCATTGCTGTAAACAGTTTTGATAATGAACTGTAATCACGTTTCATTTTCGCATTTTGAAATGATTTGACTCATCCATTTTCTTCGAAAACCTCCAACGAAAACGCCATTTTTTAGTGTTAGATACTTACTTGGATCCTTGACAGCTGTGATAACCAACTTGAATCCGTTTGATTCGGTACCCCACGCGTCTGTCACATACTTTAATGTTACGTAATTTGTTCGGGTGAACATAGCTCCTAGGTTTTGCTTAGTATTCTTACAGGATAGGTCGAACTGAAAGAAGTTGAGGTTTCATGACATTCCCAAAGTAAATTTAACAGAAATAACAATCAAGGCGTTCTCAAACTTTTTGCTCCCTCTACCTATTTGGTCCAGGTAAAAGTTCCAGGGTTTTGTGAGGACAATATTATGGCAACCTTGATCATGTCTTTCAAAATGACCTTCAACTTGAACATTTTGAATAAAACCTCCTTTACCTCATCGAGGAAAAGAGCGGAAAATTTGGAAATGACCTCTACCTAGAAATTCAAGTTCAAATAGAGGTTAAATTTATGATTCTATAATAAGCGCTATGAGTTCGATCCCGTAGGTGGTAGGAGAGGTGGTTATGTTCGGAAATGATCTTGACCATGTGAGTCAGATAGGTCAACATAAAAATGGAACCATTCTTTTTGAGCTTACCGATCGAAAGAACCTTGACAAAAGTCTTTTAAATACAACCATGCCTCCCTGACCTCACCGATGGAAACAGTGTAAAGCTTTGTGTTATGGAATAACTTTGATTAGGAACGTTGCCATGACTCCAAAGATATTTAGTTAACTAATTACAATGTCAAGGTCGCACAGGAACAACATTTTTTGCCCTTCTTGCCTTTAGGCCATACATTACGGCTTTATTTAAAATTTTGTTGACCTTAAAGGGTAAGTTCAGTTCTGAATGTAAATGTATGAGATCAAGCAGATAGGATTCAATTCAATCAGATATCTTCCAAATGACACTGAAGGTAGTAGTTATCAAGGTCATGATCAAGGTCGCCTATTAGTGGCACACTGTATAGCCCTAACAGAGTGTCAGGGGCTACTTAAATTTTTAATTAATAGTGGTTTCCTTAACTGACAGTTAGTACCTTATAAGTACCGACAGCATGAGCGCCGTCATAAATGTACAGGTGGTCGTTGCAGTCCAATTGCAGGAAATCGAATCTGAGCATGAACCGTTGCAGGATCGAATGCGTCTGGAAGGTGATCACGCACTCCAGGTTGCGTTCATTCTGCGACCACAGCAAAGCACCGTCGATTTTCCGGTACAGGTTCTGCAGGAAGTGGTTCTTGCATAAGGATTGCATCGAATCTGGAACAAGAAAACAGTATTCAAAAAACTAAACTCCTCAATCCTTAAAGTTGGGATTTTCCTTTATAGAGCGTATATATCGACAATGAGCAAATTTCCAGAGTAAAGGCTTAAGGAACCGGTATACTAAGTTCCGGAAAAATGTTTATGGGATAGTCCGACCCTGCATCCTGCTGAAAAGGCACGATATTTTGTGGTAAGTGCAATATGCGACAACATCCAAATCAGACACCGCGTGGTGTGTAGGTAAACCTAGCTTCAAAAATTCTAGAAGCACTGACATCTATAACTTCAACAATAAGATTGTGAAAACGCTACTAACTATTATAATCTATCCCCTCACTAAGCTGTTCAATTTGTGCATTAAATCAAATCCTGTTCCTGCATCCCTCAAGATAGCCAAAGTCATTCTAGTTTTCAAACACTTTTGAAATCCTCCTTAAATGCCAATTCAGACATAATCTGGAATCAGACATTTTTTGAAATTCTTTTCGGTATGACTTCAGACACAGTTTATCGACTATATGTGTTATAAATAATTTCTTCGTTATAGTAAAAAAAAAAATAAAATAAACAGTGTATAAATGCTAATTCTTTTCCTTTGACTGTGTACAACACGACATTCTTCTCTTAAAGCTATCAGTAGCAGCTGATGCTCTTGAAATCCTACCTAACTGATAGACAATAATTCGTGGAATACAATGGCTGCAAATCCTTAATTACCCCAATTTGTATGTGTTTCACAAGGCTCCGTCCTCGGCCCTCTGTTATTCTTATTGTATGTAAATGACTTGCCCAATTGCCTTTCCAACAGCACTAATAACAAGCTAATTACTTGATCAAACGAACGTACCTGTAAGTGATGTTCGACCTTAATTATATGAAGTCCTCGTCGAAGTAAATATTTAGAATACATAACGTAGTACCCTCGTAGTAATACACAACCGCCATGATTTTAAAGTGCGCACGCAGAGAAGGAAAGCGGCACCGCGCCCCTTCCCCCTACCTTTATCTCCTCTGGCCGCCTATAAACCTTCATTTACTTCAAAGCCAAGTTGTTGCAACAATTGGGTGATACATAGGCAAAGAGGAAGCTATTGACTTTGACGAGGACCTCACATAATTAGGATCGAACATCACTTACAGGTAAGTTCGTTTGATCATATAACTATGTTCCGTCCTCGTCGAAGTAAGTATTTAGAATACATATCGTAGATGTTCAAAGCTAGTTGCAACAACATAGTCCTAACGCTCTGCAATAGTAAGCGATAGGTTGCGCACAACTACACAAATTGTACGCAATGTATGTGTCAACTAAATGTACATTTCCATTGTAACAATTCAAGTTAAGGCTTTTAGCAACAGGTAATATGACGTATCTGGTTCAAAAATTACCATTTCATGGCAATGAGCAAATAACGTAATCACGTAGTTATGTTTAAGGTGTGGAGACTTGGTTCACCTCAAATGCCTCTTGAGCAAAACTGTTGTTTGGCATAAGATATTTGTGATGTATCTCAGAAAACGCACCCTAGCCCGCCGTGAGCCTGAGACCACTATAATTTAGCTGGCGGAGAGGTAGACGCATTTCATGTTCTGTGGGTTGTCAATTGTGACACTCTCTGCTAAAACCGACTTCATCCATCTGGGAGCCGAGGGATATGAGTGACCCCGAGACATTCAAAAACTGAGAAATCCCAATTTCAGTATTATTCAACCCAATCCGGATGTTGTCTGTTTCAGTTAGTTTGCACACTCTGTCCTGAGGTTAGAGCTAGCAGTATTGCTGATTTCCTCATCCAAATATCTACAGAGCTTACCAGCAAACCCTTTGGTAAATGCCCGTCTTATTTCTGCATCGGTAGTAACATTTTGGGTAAAAGACTGATAACTCAAATAATTATATCTTGATCTCTTCTCACATGTAAGGTAAGAAATTTCAAGGTAGGAAACCAGACATGTATTTCGTCCCGACAAAGGTCCTACCGTAATGTAAGCCCACAATACATGATGACATGATGGATTATCGATGTTGATTGGAATGACAGCTTTCCAGTGACGATAACCAGGGTAAGCTTCAGAGTTAGTGGGAGCGGCATCCTGGGTCCTTCCATCAGATCCTTGCGTTACTTCTAGAAGTGAAATTTCAGAAACACCGAATACTCGAACCAAAATTAGGACGGTGACAGGTGCATCTCCCACTCCGTTTCCACGTCCCACTGCCGCAAAAGCTCATCTGTACCAGTATAACTCCTAGATTTTATATTTGACGCGAGGGAAGTAAGATTTCTCTCTTTATACAGTTGCCATAGTTTTCCCGCAACCGGATCCAGACATGGAAACTAGAGGTTCTCCATTCTATTGATGTAGGGTGGAGTATACCTGTAACATGCGACAGCCCATCAATTTGGTAGCAAATCATCCACCGCAGAAGAAAACTACCAGTGGTTCTTGATGATTAGCATGTGGGATCTTCTCGGGTGACCAAAAACTAGTCTCCTCCCTGGCCAACGAATGTCCCAGTCCAAGAAATTATACAACTAAAAATTTGATAACTCAATACCTTTGACCGCATCTGGCAGTTTCTTTGAGCCACAGCCGAGGTAGACATTAAGTTATATTATGTTAGTGACATAGTAGCATTAAAATTCCCTTGAGAATTTTATAAGGCAAGAAATTTCACTCATTAGTGTAAAGTCGGCTGTAACGAAATGAAAGACAAACTGACACCAAGATCCCGATGTTCACCGCAAAGTTTCGGACTCTGTCTTGGTTGATGTCTATTATTGCCCTTACTAGGTTCAGTAATGTCTGCATCGTCCGCTCAAGTAAAGTTTCTTTCTGTCACAATTTAATACTGAGCCTGAAAGTGCTCAATTTTTTCTTAAGGTATTCCAGGAATGGCTTTATTAACTTTGTGAACACATAAGGGTTATAATTTATCCTAAACGGTACAGCATTGTATTGGAAGAGCTGTCCCTTGAATATATATATATTTTTTTTATTAGTGATAATTATATTTGAGAGAGTATATTTGTATTATACATATATACACATATATAATATAATAATAATAATATGAGTACATTTTATTCTAAGAACGGTATATGGCAAAACCCTTCGCAGTTCGCAGCTAAAACAAAGTTTCAAATTCAAATTCAAAAACCAATATAACTTGCAAATTAAAAAAAACAACCTTCAGTACAGTACAATTTAAATAAAAAAAAAGCTTCAAGAATACATGAGCTTGTATACTCTTGCTACCCTGAATAACCAAGATTGCAACAGAAATCTGAGCAAAGATATCAGGATCAGATCTAGAACCAGCAAGTAACGGTATATGAATTGTGAAAATTCTGTATACTTCCGTAAAGGGTAAATGTCAGAATCTTGTCGTCATAAATCCTAAATTACGTGTCTGCATAAACAAATCTAAAATTCACATAGTAGTACAGAAGCATACTAAAAACATTCAGAAGTATAGAGTACATAAAATATGAATATCTGAAATATGATAATATAGGGATATTTCGAGTAAGGTCAAACTATGTTGTTTAAACAATAACAATTTTGCGTAAAGGTTAAGCAGAGAAACAAGAGTACTACAATTTACTACAAAAGAATTTACTACAAAAGAATAGACACTTAAGCTATAAGCTTGTGTGTGTCATACAATATACAAATTCAATGCAAGGCTAATGGTTATAAGGTATATTATGAGCAAATGTATATAACAAAAAAGAAATAAAAAAAAACATGCATGTCAAAGTTATTTAAGATGAACTTCTTAATTCTTTTTTTGAAACTATACTTTGAGAGGATTTTATATTCTAGGGGTAATTTATTATACAACCTAATACCATCAAACTTTATGCATTTTTGGCAAACAGATTTATTCACTCTGGTATAGGTGTAACTTATATTTATTTTAGTTCTTGTTTCATAAGCGTGGCTGGTTGGGACATTATTTCGGGAGTGAACAAATTTTAGAGCAGCAAAAATATATAAACCTCCAACATTCAAAAGATCATTTTCAATGTAAACAAATCTGCAACTTGACTTACATGGGATACGAAAAATAGTCCTGACAATATAATTTTGCGTGGTTTGTAGTATTTTTAAAGTACTAGTGTATGCGGCTCCCCAAATACTTATCCCGTAAGTTAGTAGAGACCCCACAAACGAGTTATATATTGAGAGAACACTCTTTCTGCTTAAAATATTCCTAAGAATGAATAATTCTCCTTAATTTCGATGCCAAAAGCTCGGCATGACTCTGCCATTTTAAATTACTGTCAATAGTGATTCCTAAGTATCTAATAACTTCAACTCTTTCGACAGTGTCAGCACTATCATTTATAATTAATGTTCGGTGGTGTAATGGCATGCCTGCTTTGGTTGGAGAAAACGTTACATACTTAGTTTTAGAGATATTAAGTTTAAGTAAATTGTTATCCAACCAGCATTTGACTTTATTTAATGACAACTCGGCGTTCCGTATTGCGTCATCCCATGAATGACCAGTGCAAACTAAAACAGTATCGTCTGCATATGATATCATTTTACAGTTGAAATTTCATCGAAGTAGTTCATTTATGTATATGAGGAACATTGATATGAATCTGTAATACATTCTGTGACTCTCCCTAACGGGTACCAAAATCCCTGCATATTCCAAATCCAGATTCGTTAAGAAAGTATCTCTATCGTGAAGTCTGATCCCAGCTCAATAGCCTAGACTTAACTGTTATATCAGTATAAACAGACAAAGTGTCTTGAGGTAAGGAATCAAACGTGTTGACCCATCAGACTTGGGGGCAAGAAAAAGTTGGATAGGTGCTAATTTTTAGTTAGCTCAACTTTTTTACTGATAGCAGCGCAGCTAAGCAATTCATAGCAACAAGCTACATGGCCTTTAAGACGACACAATCCAGAGCGCCCTGCTGTTCGAGTGCCACCTATGCAAAATGTAACGTTAATGGAGCATAATGATATTTAAC